CGGGAGTGGGGGAAGGAAGGGCAAAGTTTGAATGAATTTTGTGTATTGCCTTACCATGAGTATGGCAGATTAATCTAACTTTGCAGGAAAGCAGAACGACCATATGTATGAGAAGGAGAGATTCCATTATCTACCTCCTGAGTATATACTTGACATTTACCTAGCTGAAAATGTAGATCTAATAATAATGGTTGCCATTTCTGCTGATCCAGAGGATCCCCACTGCCAGCTATGGAATAAGTCCCCCCCATGGCCCACAGTATCCCGAGGGTCTGGTGTAGATGTGCTCTTGGGAAACTTGTAGTCTTGGGCCTCTGGGAAGGAGGGTGATTGGGTCTGGGGAAGCCACAGGATTCCAGCCCCAGCTTTCCCCCAGGGTAAATGGTGCTTTTTGGTTCTTCGGAGTGCTTCTTCCTTTTTTTGTCTGGCAAATTTAGAAAATTTCCTGCTTTTTTCTGGCAAATTTATGCAAGTTACCTCCTTCTTCCTCTCCCATTCACTTTCAGTCTTTGAATTCCCATTATACACGCTCCTCAAAAATGCCTGTTTTTTCTTGTTACACCCAAGGCTTTCAGGAAGACAGTAACTATTGTTTAAGCCAGAATGCAACACCTTTGTCACTGAACCCAAACCAACCTCTTTTCCTTCCCATTCATAGAAGTAAAGAGGAGGTGAATGTCTAGGAACAGAACGTAAGGTCTTTTAGGAAAAGGAGAAAAGATAATTTTAGTGGAGTTCAGTTTTTTGTTCTTTTATTTAAGAGAACAAAAAACTGAAAGGAAAATAAAATGTGGAGAATGGAAAATGGCTGAGTGGTTAGAGAATCTGCTTGCATGTGGGAGCCCTATGCTCAATCCCCAGCACGGCATGTAACTTGGAGCACTTATGGATATGCTCCCTCACAACCCTCAAAAAAGGTTAGAAGGACAAATATTTTCAAAACGGAAACAGATTCTTTAGAAATGGAGACAAATTCAACAGTGACTAAAGGAGTAAACCACTGCTCTTCATCTTTGCTCACAGACATGAAGCACTGTCTGTCCTTTTCTGAAATTCTAAGGGGACACCTAAAATTTTTCATTGTAAATTTAAATAGTACAATTCCCTATATATTGTGAAGGTTGACATTTTTTAAATAGAATATTGCCTTTTCAAATGAATCAAATGAAATATAAACACAATTGGCAGTTATGCTTAGCAACAACAACTTTTTAAACATATGAAAAAATTCTTTAACATTTTAAAATTTGAGGCACTGTGACTTACAATAAGGCTGGAATGATAGCACAGTGGTAGAGCGTTTGCCTTGCGCACAGCTGGCCCGGCTGAGCCGGGTTTGATTCCTCCGCCCCTCTCGGAGAGCCCGGCAAGCTACCGAGAGTATCTCGCCCGCATGGCAAAGCCTGGCAAGCTATCCGTGACGTATTCAATATGCCAAACACAGTAACAAGTCTCACAATGGAGACGTTACTGGGCCCGCTCGAGCAAACTGACGAACAATGGGACAAGAGTGACAGTGACAGTGACTTACAATACTGTTCTCAATAGGGGGTTCAGGCATACTACATTCCAACCCACACCCTCCACCAAAATGTTTGCTTCCTTCCACCCCCATCTCAGGGATCCCCCATCCCCAAAAAGCATCTCCCAGCAACTTCTTTACCAAAGGTGTATTTTACATGACTTACTTTCCTCTTTGCATTCCATATCACCACTCCTGGGGAGTATCTCCTAATTTAACATATTTTTATATTTGAATGTATTTTGGCAACCACTCGATTAAGTTTCTTTGCAATGAATACACCTAACATATTTTGAGCTTAAATTGCCCACTATTGAAAGAGCTAAAATATTTTCTGCTAGATTGAGGTATTATCGCATTTTAAAGTAATAATCAAGTACTCAAAGTAATATAAAATAAATAAAACAGTTTAAAATATTTTTTTTTTCATGGGAGGGGGCCTCTCCAGTGCTCAGGGCAGACTGTTTATCTAGGGTGTGTGATGCCAGGATGTGTGATGCAGGCTTGACAGCTGAGTAATCAGCTCAGTCCTGGCAGCCCTCGGAGTCACCAGAGCCATACTCAGCAGGCTCCAGGGGTCACTATGGCTGTACCCTATAAGTGCTGGGGGTGGAGGTGGGGCCCGCAGTACTCAGTATTGAAGTCAAAGCTTCAAGGTTGTAAGGCATAAACTATCTCCTTAGCCTCCATAGTTTAATGATTAAACATTCATATTCTCCAATATTTCCTCAACAACAATGAGTTTAGCACCAGTCTTTTCTCAGTTTCCATTTTTACAAATGCCAAGAAGGTTTTTACATGAACAAGTCCCTGAGACTTGCCAAAATTTTGTCATGTCAATGTCACTCAATTCTCTGAACTCTTTCTAATTTACAAACCCACTGATCTTAGGGTCATACTTTACGAAGGTGAGTGAGTATCTGGAAATCATGTGACTTGCAAAATAAATTGTTTTTCAGTCATTGGAAGTATATGCTTTCTCAATGTGGTCTAGTATTTAAAAATAATAAAATAATAGAATTAAAAAAAAAAAACAAAGTTTGCATGAGGTGTTTACACCCTAGAGCAACAGGTCTTTTGAAGCTTCTCAGGAGTGAGAGTTATGCCCTTTGCCCTTTGAGTTTGGTAACTACCTGGCTGTTGTGAAAGAGCTGGAAGATGAAACAAGGAAGAATCTCAGATCATCAGTTTTAGGACAGAATATAGATACAAGCTAAAGAAGCTCAAACTGCTTAAGGGTATACCTCCCTTGTGAAAATCCCTGGAGGGGTACACACTTTAGTTGAAAGATCACTGGTATAAATTTTAATATCACCTTATTGAATTTGATAGGTGAGACAGGTCAGCTCAGGTTAAGCCATGCTTGGATCGTTGTGCTGAGGTGTTTATACCCTACCAGTATAGATATGTGACCAGAAGACTTGGGATAAATCCCAGGTGTTTAGTTTTTATTTAATGGCTGCTTTCATTCTTTTTTTTTTGAGTTTTTTGTTTTGGTTTTTGTTTAGTTTTTTTTTTTTTTAAGCTTTTTGGGCCACACCTGGCAGTGTTCAGGGATAACTCCTGGCTCTTCACTCAGAAATTACTCTTTGCAATAATTTGATAATTACTCTTGGCAGAACTATATGGGGTGCAGGGGATTGAACCCGGCTTGGCTGCATGCAAGGTAAGCACCCTACCTGCTGTACTATTACTCTGACTCCCTGTTCTCATATTTTCTTCCCAGAGGTGGAGTATCCTTAATTTCAATTTTTGGCTATTGCTTCTGAGCCTATCCACAAACTACCTAAGGAAATGTCGTGCCAATCTTAAAAATGATTATAGAACTGTAAAAAGTTGAGAAATCTTTAGAGTATGGTAAGAAAAACAGCAAAATATAAAGCTGATTGAAAATGATGATTTCAGTTTTCAAAACTACATAAAACTGTGGACAAACTAAAGGTAATATGCAATGTTTTTAATTTTGCATGACATAATAATGTTGTATTTAAGATGCTGGAGGTCATACAACCAAATACTCTTTTTCCAGTGGTATTGGGAAATTGTAATTTTAAGTTTTTCAAAAAAATAAAATATTCAAGAGATGGAAGATCTTTTTTTTTGAGGGGGGAGGTTTGGTTAGCTCTAGTGATACTGGAGGTGATACTGGAGTTATGGGGACTTTGGTGTGGTGGTGGGCTTCCTTGGCTCAGAGTTCAACATTTCCTTTCACATACCAAGTATGCACTCAGTCCTTTGAATTATCTCTGGCGCAGGAAGACCCATTTTCAAAAATGTATTTTCTCTGCTTTTTCCCCTACAGAGAAGCTTGTGTTCTCTCCTGAAGACATATCAATCCTTCTCTCCCCCCACATCTAAGTAAAATTTGATCTATGAAAACTATTTTGCTTCACACATTAAAAAAAACACATTTTTCTCCTATTCAGTAAGGTTGTTTTTAACCCATAATAAGATGTAAACCAGTCTTCAGTCTTGTTTGATTTATTCCATGTGTTTGTCATAAATTCCCAAAGTTTGTTTCCTTCTGTGTTGAGTACTTTATTTTTATTGATTATTCATTAACTTAAACATTTTATTTTCTGGTGATGGTTTCAGGTCAAGAATTCCATCTTTGCTACAGAACAGTAGGTGTTTGCCTTGCACTCTGTGAATCCAGGTTTAATCCCTGGTCTCCCGAGCGAGCCAGGAGTGATTCCTGAGCACAAAGCCAGGAGCAATCCCCAAGCACTGCAGGGTGTGTGTGGCCCCAAACAAAAGAGAGCTTAATCCTCTTTACCAAGTTGCTACTAAGTTTTCTTTTTCGTCGTGGAGGGAACATAGGCCACCACACACCAGGGGGAGGTGCTCAGGGGGGTTCCTGGTTCTGGGTTCAAGGGTTGCTGATCCGTTTTAGTGGTCTTCGTAATGTTTCTAATTTTTAAAAAATTGGTCGGGACTGGCAGCACTCAAAACACCTGCTCTTCTCAAATTTTTATGGAATACGTGGTGCTTGAGAGCTCAGTATATTCCAGCGCCCACCAAAGAAGGGGCTAACCGGAGCCTCCGAGAGTCACCAAGGTTCCTGGCTCGCGAGGGGTTGTGACTACGGGACTCGTAACGCCCAGCAATTCAGCATCCCGGAGAGCGGAGGAGCCGCGAGATCTGCGCGGCCGCTCCCGGCACCGGGGAGCGCCGCGCGGCCCCGCCCCCTGGCGCTCCAGCCCCGCCCCCAACCCGCGGCGTGTCGCACGCAGGCGCGTCCCTCGCGACGCGCGGAGGAAGCTCCGCCCCGCGCGGCCGGAGGCCCCGCCCCTTCCCGCCCCGCCCCGCCCCTAGGCGGTTGCTCGCGGCGGCCGCCGCCCTCCCCCGGCCCAATGGCGCTGCTGCCGCGTCAGTGATGTGAAGCCGTGCTCGGGCTTGTCCGGCCCCCGGCCCGCAGCCCATTACACCATCCGCCGCTGCAGCCGCTGCAGCCCGCGTAGACTGGGAGGGCGGGAGGCGGCCCGGCGGGGCGGGGCGGGGCGAGCGGCGCGGCCGGATTCATTCCTGTAGTGCACGGGGCATGGAGGAGCTGCGCGGCCGCAGGCGGAGCGGGGCGGCCCTGGCGGCGGCGGGCACAACGGTTTCCATTTGAAAGGGGCGGCCCGAGCCCGAGCGGCCGGCGGCGGCTGGAGCACGAACCCCCGGGCAGGTAGTGGCGAGGGCGGCCGGCCCGGGCCGCGGCCTGCGGCGCCCGGGGAGAGGCCGGGGCGGGAAGGGGGAAGACGGGCGCTCCCGGGCGGCGGGCGGCGGGGCTGGAAGGCCCCGGCGGGAGGCGGGGGGGAGGAGGACCTGCCCGTCTGGGTGGGAGGGGGAAGCGAGAGGGGCCGGTTTTCGGGGGGGGGGCTCCTGGGGTTGGGGGCGCCCCGGGGCGGGGGTGGGTGGGCAGGAGACGGGGTCGAGATGGGGCGGGCGAAGTGAGCGGACAGGCCGCCGGATTTCCTGAGCGCCAGCCCCGAGTAGTTGCTCGGGGGCCCGCGAGCAGCTCTCGGGCGAGGGTTGGTGGGCTCCGACCTTTTTGTTCTGTCTCGGAAACACCCACCGCGCGGCCTTGCAGCCTCGCGCCCTTGGCCCAGCGCTCGCCCCTGCGGATGCCAGCGGGAGCCGGAGCCGCGTTTCGGAGCCCTCGGCCCCGGCCGGCCGCCGCGCTCTGGCCCCCTGGCCGGGGTGTGCGCCGAGCAGAACTGGAACAAAAGCTCGGCGCCCGGGTGGGGAACAGACCCCGGGGCTTGGGGGGGGGCTGGAGCGTGCGGGTCCCTCCCCTTCCCCCTCCCTGCGTGCGGGGGAAACCCAAACATTGGCTGCTCTACGCGGACTTTTTTTTTTTTAAATTTTTTTTTAAAAATTGTATTCTCCCGTGCCTTTGGAGTTTGGAGGGCGGGAGGAATGAACCCCGATAGTGGGGGGGGGGGGGTGCGCGCTGGTGCGCGCGCGGCCACGCGCCTGGCGGTGGGCTTCAGGCTGGAGTAAGCGAGGGAGGCAACCTCAGCGTTTTCTGCTGATTGGCAAATCCCAAAACTGCTACTTTTTGTTTTTGCTCTCGCTGTCTCTTCCTGGTCTAGTTCCGAGCGCGGCTGGTCAGATGCTGGAAGGACAGACTCGCCTGCGGCTGGCTCTCCCTTCCGGGGTGCAGGGATAACATTGAACTTGGGGCCCTCCCCCCCCCCCCACCCCCGGCTCCACGCCGCCCCCCGCGTGACTCTGGCCGGGGTCGTTAGAGTTCAAGCTGGAGCTTGGCCTCAAGGATCGATCTCTAACAAAAGCACGCAGCCTTTGCCCCGGGGGACCTAAATGGATCTAAAGACAGCAGTGTTTAACGCAGCTCGGGATGGCAAACTCCGGCTCCTCACCAAGTTGCTGGCAAGTAAGTCCAAAGAGGAGGTTTCCTCCCTGATCTCGGAGAAGACCAATGGGGCCACCCCGCTGCTGATGGCCGCCCGCTACGGGCACCTGGACATGGTCGAATTCCTCCTGGAGCAGTGCAGCGCCTCCATCGAGGTGGGCGGCTCGGTCAACTTCGACGGCGAGACCATCGAGGGCGCCCCCCCGCTGTGGGCCGCCTCGGCCGCCGGGCACCTCAAGGTGGTGCAGTCTCTGCTCAACCACGGCGCCTCCGTCAACAACACGACGCTGACCAATTCCACGCCCCTGCGCGCCGCCTGCTTCGACGGCCACCTGGAGATCGTCAAGTACCTGGTGGAGCACAAAGCCGACCTGGAAGTGTCCAACCGCCACGGCCACACGTGCTTGATGATTTCTTGCTACAAGGGACACAAAGAGATCGCGCAGTATTTACTTGAAAAGGGGGCGGATGTCAATCGGAAGAGTGTGAAAGGTAAGCCCGGCCTCTCGCGGTGTGTGCTTGTTGTGTGCGTGTTTTCAGGAAGTTGGGCGCGTCCTTCCAGGCACCGGTGTTGCGGAAGGCAGGCTGGGGCCGGCCCTGGTTGCAGCCCGGAGCCCCGTCCCTTCTCTTCCCTTCCCTCTCACCTGGTGCAGGGTTCTCCCCGGGATTTGGATCACCCAGCGAGCCCGCAGGAATCCCAGCCCACCCCACCCCAGATTTCTGCACTCAGTGAAGCCGCGCTGTTGCCCCTTACTGGAAGCAGTAACTTCCAGTAATATTCCTGGAATATGGTTTTTCCAAAGTTACCGAGCATTTAAATAGTGGCAGTTGGTCTAAAACTTTTCTTTTTTTTTTTTTGCTTTTTGGGTCACACCCGGCGATGCACAGGGGTTACTCCTGGTTCATGCACTCAGGTATTATTCCTGGCGGTGCTTGGGAGAACCATATGGGACCCTGGGAATCGAACCGACCCGGTTGGCCGCGTGCAAGGCATCGCTCCAGCCCCAATTGGTCTAAAACTCTTAAGGCTGTGAGAGCATATGCTTCAATGTAGTTTGTTTTTCTGAACTTTTTTTCCCCCCTGAACTTTTAATTTTTATTTTTTTATTATTATTTTTTTAACAACCCTGGCATTAACAGCTGCTGTATTTTAGTGGGTCTTATTTGGGGGAAGGTATGTGGTTTGTTAGCCTGTCAGGGAAGGCCAGGCCAGTCACCTGGGAGGATTGTATGGAGGAAGAGGAGAGAATCTTTTTCCCTTGTCCTGTTTTCGTGACCAGTTGAAAAATCTTTTTATATAGCACGTGTTATAAAAACGGCAGGAGGGAAAACAGATTTTTAAGAGTGCACCAGCATTGAGAGAGCCAAACAGGGACTCTGGTGGAGGGACAGATGTGGATTTGTTAGCTGGCAACAGTGTAAACACCTTTGTGGGGAAGCGCTCTGGTTTACAGTCTAGTATAATTTTCATGACTTGTAAAAGCCCCAAAGGGTGGTTTAGACTTTATAAAACCTTAAAAGCCATTGTTTTGCTAGCATCATTTTATTATTTGAAACCTTTATTTTCCCTCAACATTTATTTTTGCAATAGCAAAGTTCTGTACTAATGAAAAGGAGTATGAAAAAATAGCATATGTGGTAAAGATAAAACGAACACAAACTGGTGGGACAATGTTTATAAATAAAAATAAATTTTATCACTCTTAGTTTCTATACCTCCAGAGCTAGTTTTCTGGTGTTCTAGAGATCGCCTGAGCAAAGACCAGTCGATTTGTTTGTGTATCTCTCGCTTCTCCCGCCCCCTTTCTCATCTCTGTTATTTTAAGAAAACTTAAAAACGTTTATTTATTTATTTTTTGTATCCCAGTCCGCTCCAACAAAATAGCTTGCTCATTTTGTTTCAAGGGTACACTGTCTTTTGTATATGGTTGAATCTATGTTTATTTAGTCCCTATTGATGGAAATTTAGGTCACATCCAAAATAAATGACACTGTTGTGACTCTTGAACAAAAGAGGGGTTTTTTTGCACACTTGTTGAGGGAATGACTGTACTCTAAATACCTGTTAGTGGAATCACTGAATCAAAGTGAATGAAAATTTATCTCTGTGAGAGTATCTGCAGTGTCTTGCCTTTCAGAAGTTAAAATTAAGGGATCCTGCCTAATTACTGGATATTTACTGAAGTTAGTATGCTTTTTTAAAAAAGATTTGTTATAAAATGCAGGTTCATTGTGATTTTCTGGAAACGTTTTTCCCTTGGAAACAAAAATGTCACCAAATTTAGTACTCAGCTTGTCCTTCGAAAGGTATTTCTGAGTTTTAAGTATAGATAGGCCTGTGCGATTTTATTTTATATATTCTTCTATACCCTGTTTTTTAGCTTAATGTATTTTTAATGACATTAATTATAAGGTCTTTAGTTTTAGTTGCTGCATAGGCTTCTACTAAAGAAGTTTTGTGTTGCTTACATGCTTTTTTTCCTATGGTAAAAATATTTTGAAAACATTCCTTATGTATGTTTTTACTTGTTCCTAATTATATTTGAGATAGGTTATTGGGTCAGATGACCTTTTTTGGATATAATAATCATTCTTTAACAAATGCTTGTTTTGAGAGACTGCTTTTTAAAGAATGCTTGAGAAAGCTTTGAAATCATTATTAGAAGAGACTGGGTTAGAAGTTATGGCTGCTTGTTTTTTCCTTGTTTTGGACTTTTCTAGTATGTTGTGTTTTTGGGGCTACCTCCGGTGATGCTCAAGGCTAACTCCTGACTGCACTGAGGAATTCTTCCTGGTGTGCTTAAGGTACCATATGGCATGCTGGGGATCGAACCCAGGTATGCCACATGAAGGCAAGCGCCCTACTACTCCACTATCTCTCCAGCCCCTGTTTTGGGCTTTTTAATTCAGCTTAATGATAAACACTTGATAAACACATTTAAAGTTAGATTTAGGTGTTTTAAATTCTCACATCATTCATGAGTGCTATTTGCCACATGTCATTTAAAGCTGTTTTAAATGCTTCTGGAGATAAAGTGTATGAGAGGGACATAAAATATATTAGAGAACATACTATAAATGTCATAAATAGCTCATGTTTTAGTCAGCATTTTATTATAATAAACTGAACAGTACTGGATTACCATTGCTGTTTCAGAAAAATATGCCATCTCTGTATCACCTTCATTTTGTGAGATCATATGTCCTTGCTATTGGCCAAATGGTCTGCTTAATTCTAGAAATATTCCCCCCCCCACCACCAAACTGTCAATATCTATGATTCTTGCCTAAAAAACAAAACACAAAAAGTGAATGAGCAAACAAATTTATATCAAGTTTATATAGAAATTCATCTCAAGTAGCTTTTATTTATATACAAACAGACTTAAGCATGCATATATACATGTATATAGTATGGACACTCGCTCTTTGAGCTATCTCTGAATCCAAACTGTAATTTTTAATGAATGATAAATGTTGGGGACAGATTGAAGCACTAGTGCATCTACCCCCATTCTGAAACTAACCTTCCATTCTTTAATAATCACTCATGGACTCTTCAGACCTCTTTATGTGTTTAATAGTATTTAATAGTATTTAATAGGCCCTCCCGTTGGTCATCGATTTGCTCGAGCGGGCCCAGTAACGTCTCCATTGGAGACTTTGTTTTTACTGTGTTTGGCATATCGAATACGTCATGGGGAGCTTGCCAGGCTCTGCCGTGCGGGCGAGATACTCTCGGTAGCTTGCCGGGCTCTCCGAGAGGGGCGGAGGAATCGAACTCAGGTCGGCCATGTTGGCTGCGTGTAAGGCAGGCGCCCTACCACTGTGCTAAGGAGCAAAATTGGTTTTAGAAGCAGGATCCAAAAGAAGGTGAGGTAGAAACAGCAGAGAAGGATCTGATAGAGGAGTAAGAAAGGCTTTTTTACCCGTATTTAAAATGGCAAAGACTGATAAGATTAGGAATACTATGGAGTAAATAAATTTTTTCTTATGAAATTTTGTATGTCAGTTATTAGAGATGGTTCTGAGGAAAGGAAGCATCAGAAACAGTTTTAATTGTAGAGGTAGGTTCCTAAGCAGATATCTCCGTCAGGATATGGTAAGTCCTTGTTTGTTTGCTTTTAGGTCACTGTAGGGTGCTCAGGGGGCCATAGGTGATGCCAGGGATCCCACCCAGTTGGTTGTGTGCAAAGCAAGCACCTTACCCACTGTACCCTCTGGCCCTCAGGAGTCCTCTCTTGGATGTTTAGAAATGCTTTTCCCAGTTGACTCATAGCCTGAGCACAATTTTTTCTCCCATAACAAAAGACGCGGGGTGGGGTGGGGGGGAGAATATTGTGAGATTTAGATTTTCTTCTCCAATTTGACATATAAAACAATTGATTCTTGGAGACAGGAGGGTTGGTGGTTTTTCCAGATTATAGTCCCCAAGTGAGCCGTGCTTAGACGGCTTTATCCCAGAGCGCTTTATGGTGCTAGCCACCTTTAACTTTGGTGCTTTTTTGCATTGCTATTTTTGTTTTTGATTTGTGTGGGTTTTTTGGACTCGGAGTAAGACTTTACAGGTCTGTGGTGAGGTTGCTTCATTAGACTCTTTTAGTTCTGCCCTTGGCGGACACTGTCATCACTCATGGGTCAACATTTCAGATACTCAGGGTCATACAGTAATGGGCAGCAAGAACAGTGTGTCTCTTCTCTAGGCAGAGCACCATGGAGGCTTTGAGAAGATACAGTGGCCACATTGATTGACTCAAGGCTTCACAGAGATGTCCAGCTGTCCTTGAAAAGATTGCTGGGGCTCATATCTAAGGGATTTGATACAGTTTTCAGGACATAGAAATAGGCACAAGGAAAGGCACATTAAGAAGTGTACTTGATCATGGACAATTTTGTAATGCTGTATCTCCTGGTGATTAAATAAAAATAAATGTATTTGAGTGCCCACTGATATATATTCAAGAAGTATGCTTGAGTGCCCACTGATTCAAATATTCCTTTCTGATTCCTGGGTCAGGAATCAGAGGGTACAGGAATCAGAAAGTAAGAATATTTGAATCAGTGGACACTCGAGGCTAGACTAAAAAGTACGTGTACTTCTAGATAGAATTTTATTTTTTTTCCAGTGATAAGTCTGTGAAAATTTTTAGCAAAATAACTAGAATTTCCTCCTCCTCTTCCTCCTCCTCCTCATCTTCCTTCTTTTCCAACCCCCACCCAGAGTTTAAATTTTTTAATTAGGACTGTGTTTTGTTGTGTCTTCCAGAAGGGAAATACAAACCTAAAGATTTCAAGTAAGACATAGAGTAAATCTCAAAAGTGATGGGTCAGGATAGAGCTTAGGGATACAGAAAACTGATGGAAAAAAGCTGCTGGGAATGAGAACGTCCTAAACACGACTACCATTTCAGAATCCTTGGAAAGCACATAAACTTAAAGCATAGGGGAACTTGGACTTATTCTCCTTTGGTATTAGGGTTTTTCTAGATTTA